TTCTTAACAATCATACTTGAATGTCTCATGAAAAATGCTGTGGGACACTAAGCAAAATGCTGAAGGAGTTTGTGAAGTGCTGTCCTAAAATACGCTGTTTTAGTGCATTAATTGTTGAGATGAGGGTACTTGGAGCTTAGCAGATGTGTGGGAAGGCCTTCTTTGGACACCCCTCTCTGGCCAGAGGCAGATGTTCCCAAGGCCCTACCAGCATCTGTGCTTCCTTTTTTCCCATCATCTCATGCTGTTGCATTTCTGTGCATAAATCAGGCAAGATTCAAAAATATCTCAGAAGCTGAGAAGCTAAAAAGTTAAACATGATTCTTTCCTCTAATATTTTTTTCTGACTATCATATATCAAGCAATTCATTTTTTTGTATTTAACACAGGTCTACAGGGTCTCACTACATAGATCAGACTCATAATGATTCCCGTTTTCAGCCTCCCAAGCGCTAGGATTACAGGTGTGAGCCACCACCCCCAGTCTCAATCACCATCTCAGTGCTCCCTGGGGGTGGGGCTGGCATAGCACACTGGGGACCCAACCCTGGCCACTGCGCTTTGCCTGAGCAGATGCTTTAATCCACTAAGCTATCTCGCCAGCCCTCTTTTTAAAATTAAAAAAAATCTTTATTTATTATTTCTTGTACAGGGTCTTGCTATGCAGCTCAGACTTATATGATCCTCCTGTCTCAGCCTCCCCAGCGCTGGGATTACTGGGGTATGCCACCACGCCTGATTTTGGCATGTGGTACCAGGGATCAAACCCAGGTCCTTGTGCTTGCTGGGCAGGTGCTTAGATTGCGGAGCTATCTCCCCAGCTCTTTTTTTTTTTTTTTTTTTTGAATAACTATTTAAGTAATACTTTTATTTACCAAATCTACCTCAACTTAATTGTGAAATTAGAGGAAAAACTACTGGTCACTTTTTTTTTGAGTTTAAGGAATAACTTGTTAGTGCTCACTTATCCCTAGGCAAATTTGAATAAAACTAACTTAAAGGGTTTTTATCAGTTTAGTAATACCATCCAAAAAAAAATCATAAACCCTTAACATTTATACAGAAATATCCATTAAGCATTTACATGAGGGGTGTGGCTCAGTGGTAGAGGCCCAACTTAATATGTGTACAAGGATCTGGGTTCAAAGTCCAGGGCTGGGGAATAAACCAGCTGGAATAGACTAGATTTACTGGACTCCATGAGACGAACAAGTGGGCTCTGGACTCCTTAGCAGATTTCTGTTGCCTGTAGGTCTGATTGCAGACCAATCAGTTTGAGTGGGAAGCACTGGGAATGGCTTTTGGCACGTGGTCTGGGTTTCAAATGCACAGTGATGCCCAGGTCTTCCCCATTACACATGAGCTCGGGGACTCCTGCATGGGATGGACATTTTCTTTGTGAACAGGGTTACCTTTTATTACTACTGCATTGAACTTAAGATTTAAGCACTTTTTTTGGTACTGGAGATTGAGCTTCATTCATGCCAGTGCTTTACTGCTGAGCTACATCCCCAGGCCTTGCGTAGGTCTTCATCTTAGGGGAAAAGTGTTAGTCTTTCACAGCTGAGTATGATGTGATTTTTGACAGATAGCTCTTATGCTGAGGAAGTTTCCCTCTGTTACTGGTTGTCTGAGGGTATTCACTATTATTATTTTTTTTTAAGTCATGAAAAGATGTTGGATTACATTAAATGTTCTTTCTTAAAATGATGTCTTACTTTGGTTTAGTGGTCTCTAGATTTCTTTCCTTGTAAATCTTTATCTGGCTTTGTCATCAGTAGTACAGTTAGGAAGTCTTCCTATTTTGTTTTTTGAAAGAGTTTGAGAAAGGTTGATGTTAATTCTTTAAATGTGTGTAAAATCCACAACGATGCCATCTGGTGGTGGAGCTTTGTTGGAGGTTTGTGATTTCTGAATCAGGTCTGTTTAAATTTTCTGCTTCTTCTTAAGTCAGTTTTGCTAATTTGAGTTTTTCTAGGAATCTGTCCATTTAATCTATCTTATCTAATTTGCTGGCACACAGTTGTTTATAGCATTATTTTATAGTCCTTTTTATTTTTGAAAGTTTGGTAGTAATGCCCTCCAAACAATTTCTAATTTTAGCTGGTTTTGCTCATCTTCTTTCTTTTCTAGTTTAGGAAAAGGTTTAATAATTTTGTTAATATTTAAGAGGCTTATTTATTTATTTATTCAAAAGTCTTCCAGGGGCTGGCGAGATGGCTCAGTGGTCTAAAGCACCTACTTGGAACAAGCTTGGCAAAGCACAGGGACCGCGGTTCGATCCCCCAACACCACATACCAGCCAGCCCCGCCCCCTGGTGGGCTGAGCTGGCCACACATACACACACACACACAAAAAAAAAAAAAAAAAATGAAAAAAAAAAAAAGTCTTCCAGCAGTTTATTAGAAAGAGTGTAGACATTTAAAACAATCCCACTGTCATGAACATGAATTGAGGTTTTTCAGCTAAGGTACAAGCTAAATCAAAAACAAATAAAAAATCCAATAGTGTATTAACACCTTTTCATTCATTTGCCATACTGACAGTGCAAATACAAATCTGGTCTAAAAGTACAGACTCCCAAGCCAACAATGTACAGCTTTCTTCGTCCTCCATGCTGAGAGATGTAAAAGCTTAAAGGCCAAATAATACCAAATGTATAGGCTTCAAAAACCATCTAAGTTAAGGGCATTCACTAGTTTTAGCTAAGATACATCTGGAACACTGACAAGTAATCACTTACATACAATAATGTGAAGTAAGTTTTGTGAAAAATAAACTTTAGTGGAACTATTCTGAAAGGTACACCAGAGGAATGGCCGGTTATCAGTTTAACATATCAACCAATTTTGAGTCCATGTAAGAGGCTTTTTAAAATTAACTCTAGATTGTTATCCTTCCTACTTTATCTCTGTTCTTGTTTTGCTAATTGTCCTTAGCTTGTTAGGTTTGCTCTTTTTTTAGTTCTTTAAAATGTTCAATTCAGTTTTTTTCTTTCACTATTGAGGATTGAATTTAGGGCCTCCACACTGAGCCGCATCCATAGTCTTTTTTTTTTTTTCTTCTAATTTTAAGACAGAGTCTCATTAAGTCACTAAATTGCTGGCCTGGATCTTTCCATCCTTCTTTCTGAACCTCTCAGAGAGTGCTGGGATTCCAGGTGTGCACCACCATCCCCAGCTTTGCTTATTCACTAGAGAGATCTTTCTCTCTAGTGATCTCCTTCATGTATATGTATAAAACACACAATTTGTGTGTGTGTGCTGGAGATCGATTCCATAACTTCAGTGATGCTTAGTATGTGCTTTGCTGCTGAGCTGCAGCCCTCTTTCTTAAAGGTGTTTGCTACTATAAATTTACCTCTTAGTACTGCTTTTGCTGCATACTTGTGTGAGCCTGTTTTCACTTTCAGATGTCGCAAAACATTTTATTTTCGTTTTGATTGTTTGACACATTGATTCATAGTGTATTTAATTTTTGTTCCATTAGATTGTATCGAAGAAGATGTTTAGTTTGATTTTAGTCCTTTTAAATTTATTGAGACTTGTTTTGGTAGTCAGACATATGGTCTATGTGGAGAATATTTGTGTGCACATTAGGAAAATTCTGTAGTGTATTCAGCTATTGTTGGGTGAGAGTTTTTTTTTGTTGTTGTTGTTTTTGCGGAACCAGGGATTAAACTTAGACCCTTGACCTTGCCAGGGAAGCACTTATTCCACTGAGCCATCTCCCCGGTCCCTGGATGAGAGTTCTGTGTGTCTGTTAAGTCTGATGGGTCTAGCCTTCTGTGTTCTCGTTTATCATTTCCATTAGTGGAAGTGCAGTACTGAAGTTTCCAGCTGTTAGAGCTACCTATTTCTGTCTTTAACGGTATTGATGTTTATCTATTTTTGTATTCTAGTTGATGGACATGTTAGTAATTGTTACTCTTCTTGATAAATTGCCTCATTAATGTATAATGTCCTCTGGCTTTAGTTTTTTATTTTAAAGTTTATTTCCTCTGATATTAACCTAAGCACGAGAATTCTTTTAGTTATTGTTTGTTGTAGCCAGGATCTCATTATGTAGGTCAGGCTGACATTGCACTCTTAGCGATCCTCCTGCCTCAGCCTTTTGGGTACAGGATTATAGGCATGTGCCACCATGCCCAGCAGTGAGATACACTTTTTTTTTTTTTTTTTTTTTTTTTTTTTAGGGAAGGGTCTACAAGGTGTTCAGGGCCTCACTACTAGATCGGACTCATAGTGAGCTGCCAGTTTACAGCCTCCCAAGAGCTGGGATTATAGGCACGCACCACTGCGCATGCTTTAGGGGCAGGGCCAGCACAGCAGGTCTGGGGATTGAGCCCCTGGCCCCTGCCCCCTGTGCCCGCTTGCAGATGCTTTAATCTGCTTAGCTATTTGGCTGGCCCTACCATTTACTTTTTAAATAAAGTTTTATTGGAGCACAAATACACAGACACATGTGCTTGGATGTTGTTTGTGGCTGTTTTTATGCTGTAGAATTTTCATATGTCAGTGTTGGGTCATTATTCTCCAGACTGTATGTTAGCAAAGCTTGAAACAGTTGCCTGTGATTCTTTACAGGAAAAGTTTGCTGACTCCCAGATCTCTTTCAGTTTCCCTGGCTGTAATTAACTGTAAATGGCCTTAGTCTGGTGAAATTTGTCACATGGTGTCTATTTTATGTCTCCTGAAGCTTGTGAATCGGGTAATTCTGGTATCAGATATGGTTGCCTTGTCACACATGGGTGAACCTTGTCTGGCTGAGAGGAGGGGCAGCATCTGCCCCTGAAGCTATTGTCAGAGATACAGTGACTCTAAGAAGATGGCCCCTTGATGGTAGCTTCAGTCATGGGGTGGCCTGCTGACCTGGTCTTCTGGGACTAAGGCAGGTCCTAGAACATAGAATTTTAGTTTTTATATCTGGGAAGCCTGGGTAGATTTGGACAGCTGTCATCCAAAAGGCTCTTGTGTCTCACCTGTGTCCCTTCCCCCAGTACCATTCAGGGAAACTCCAAGCTACGCAAAGCGGCGACGCTTGGCTGGCCCCAGTGGCTTGGCGTCTCCTCGGCCTCTGCAGCGCTCAGCCAGCGATATCAACCTGAAGGGTGAGGCACAGCCAGCAGCTTCGCCTGGGCCCTCGCTGAGAAGTCTTCCCCACCAGTTGTTGCTCCAGCGGCTGCAGGAAGAGAAGGATCGTGACCGGGATGGTGACCAGGAGAATGTTGGTGGCCCTTTAGCCGGCAGGGGAAGCCAGAGCAAGATCAGGTAGGGGGGGCTGGGAGACTCCTAGAGCCAGGCTGCATGCCTGGCCAGCAGGGAGAGGTGTGCTGGCAAGAACCAGGCCCCAACAGATCTCCTCTGATGAAAGGGGGGCAAGGTGGGAGGCTAGGACAAGGTGGGTAGGGCAGGCTCACCCACATTAGCCTCTGGTTGGCTCTGGACATGCTCTGAAGACAGTCGTTGAGGAAGTGTTTTGGACAGAGAAGGTATGGTCCAGAAAATGTTGGAAAGTCCACTGCGCCTCCAGGCAGGTCCTTAGGGGTCAGGGTTGCCTTTTCGTGAGGGATTAAAACCTATAGGTGACACCGAGGCCTTCCCCAGCTGCCTGTATATCTACCTATAGGGTTTTTCACCCCCTACTGTAAATGCTGGGTTGCCAAGAAACTGGGGGTATTGGAGTGACATGGCATCACTAGCACTTAGAGTAGGAAGTGTGGCCAGGGGCTGGTTGGCCTCTCCAGGCTGTGGGGTGAGGCCGGGTTTCCCTGGCTTTCAGATGGCCACTGTGCTGGTGCATGAAAGGGAAGGTAACCCAGTTGGGTGCTTCCTTGGGTCATCTCAGTGGTCTGGTGGGCTCCTGTATGCAGTGCAGACAGTGCTGGTGGTAGTACCTGTTTCTTGAGGGCAGGAGCTGTCTCTTTCTTGCTTTCTCCTGTTCACAGCCAGTCAGTAGAAGTACTGAGTGAAGGTGTTAACACAGTGTGTTGTTTTGTGGTGGTAGCTGATTGTAAAGTCCGTTGGACTCTGCCGGCTATCTTCTTGGCACTCAGTGACTAGACGAGGCCGTGCCTTGACAACACCATGTTATGGACGGGGCCCTGTTGCCCAGCTGGGTCAGTGACCTGTGCGGACACAGAGCTAGGTCAGCTCTTCCGGGCCTAGATGTTGGGGCTTGTGAAAGGCTCCCTTTCTGTACCTGGCCCCTGCCCTGTGCAATCTTTAGCATCCATGTCTCTGCCCACCTTTGCTGGTCTCTGAGGCTGTCTGTCTTGCCTCAACTCAAAGTTCCTAAAAGTACTGCTGCTGGGTTTCCTAAGGACTGAGTGGCCTTGTGGCTGAAAGAACATATCCTGTGGTGTTGCCATTCCCAGAAGGTGCTCCTGAGTTGGAGCCACAGATCCCTGCATTGTTTGACTGTCCTGTGAGCAGACAGAAGACAGGGGCCTGCTCTATCAGGGACTTCAGTTCATCTGCTTGGTGGGGATGGCAGTATCCTTACTTTTCCACCGCAGTTTTAAGTGCTTGGTATGCCAGATATGGCCATAATCCCAGGACATGGACAGCTAAATCCAGGGCAAAGCAGCAGTTCCTCGGACAGTGATCTGTACTGGGGGGCTTCCTTGCCAGGGGACAGGGGTCACGTGGTCAAAGGACCCCTCATGGCCTTTGTGCAATGTGGAGCAAGGCACCTCACTGGTTCCCCTTATCGGCTGAGCCTGGCCTGGCTCCTGGAGGTTCAGACAAGGGGTCTGCAGAGTGACCCCAGCACCCTCAGCCTGGCCCCTAGAGTGCAAGAGGGGAAAGCCTGTTACTTGATCCTTGGTGGGATGGCCATGATTGGAGCAGTTTGGTTTTGGGCAACTGTGTGGTGAAGGGCTTAGGGCAGGGAGGGAAGGCGCCCACCCAGGTGACTGGGATGTGGCAAAAGCCATGTCCAGAGCCCAGCTGTTGGCTGAGCGTGGGAAGTTAGCCTGCCTGGGTGCTAGCGAGACAGTGCATGCCAGGTCCTGGCAGGGGCAGCTTGGAGAGGGTATGGGCCACAGGGGCAGGTGTCCAGGGATAGGGGACACAGGCCTGGAGGGAGGGGGCGGGGTAAGCAGTCCCGTGCTGGCCCTGAAGCCCGCCACACCCCCGTGCCCCCGGCGCCCCCTGCCACCGGTGCCTCCGCCCCGCCCCCCGCGGCCGC